TTTCTAGGGCCCTGGAACTTGGAGAAGATGACTGCTGAACAAACGTGCAAGGGGTCAGGCTGGAATGAGGCCTTCTGGCCAGGGAGCAGTGTAAGGCACTGGAGGAGAAAAATGGGTGGGAGGTCACTGTTCCAGGCAGGGAGAGGATGGTACTAGCAACCAAACACCATCAAAGGCTAGGGCATTCTACTCACAAGATCGAGTTGATTTTTCAGCTGCTGGATTCTGGGGAAAGCAGCATGAACTGGGGAAGGGCTAGGGCATATTTTCATGACGTGCCCCAATCAGAATCCTTTCCCTCCCCCACTCGCCTTCTTGAGGCACCTGCAGAGTTTTGGGTTACACCAGCAGCCTTCTCCTGCCAGCCCAAATCTAACTCCGGTGCCACAAAATCAGCAGAATCGAAAACCTCTCCTATTTTAGAAATTTGTAATGACAAATCTGCATTTGTGAGAGGAAGGAACTGGGTGAGAGTCTCCCTTCTTTTCTCCCTCCTCGAAAACTTTGCCCTGGGCTCAAGGTTGCCATTCAAGGCCAAATGACAAGCAAGCTGCTTTCCGTTGGCTTGCTCGAATTCTTTTTTTTTGTTGTGGTCATTTTGGGGAGCCTGGAGGCTAGAAATGGGAATAGACGCCTCCGAGGCAAGCTTGATATTCAGAAGCAGCTTCGTCTGTTAAACGAAACAAAAAGCTGGACTCGGTTTTCTCCTGCAGAGAGACACAGCTCTTTCTTTGCACTATCACACTAAGCACGGTTTCTGGAAGGGGAGAGGACACCTTTGGATATTTACCATGATTTTATGCAAAGCAAATCTTAGCAAAGGCTGGGCTTAATGCAGAGCAGAAGTTCATTTCTCTGCTTGCTCATCCTGGGCGGGGGGGGGGAGGGAATGAGGGAAAGAGAGAGAAAGAGCAAAACCCAGAGCAAGCAGCAACCGCTAAGCAAAAACAATGCAATTTCTGGAAAAGTGTAAACTTATGAAGTAGGGAAAGAGGAAGAAAGCTACAAGGAGTGGAGAAAGCCCTACTATCTTTATAGGAGACAATCAGTTTCTGATAGGCCAATGACAGGCAGTTTACCCATTGATTACATATTAACCTGTCTGGAGAGTGCTGAAAGGAAACTGTGCCTGAATTATTGGAAGGTCAAGCTCTAAAGGACATGTCTACTACCAAGCAGGAAGAATGTGGCCCAGGCTGTCAAAGGCCTGGTCCTCTGCACCTCTACGACCCCTTTCTTGCTTCCCAATCTCCTAAACCATGGATTAGAGCTAAAAGAGGACTAGCTGCTGGTTTTCTTTCAGCCAGGCTGACTGCAACTTAGTTTCCTGTGCAGGCAGAGCTAAAGGTCAAAGCAAAGACAATGAGAAATGAGTTGCCTTTGCCCACCTTTGCACCAGACATTCCTTTGTTTCAGAGCCTAATGACCTTTGACCTTGCGCCTTAGACAGCCTTAAGAGCAGCATCTTGGAACCTCTAGAAATTGAGCTGTACATTTAAAACAAGGTCTGGGTTTTTTTGGGTTTTTTTTTGACCTGTCCGCTTTTCACTAGTAAGATGCTAAAGACTTAAAACTACACCCCTAAGAAGGCACTTGTTTTTCTCTCTCCCTCCTCTTCCTCTTCTCCTCCTGACTTGCTTTCTTTGGGGACCTAGAAAGGGAATTTACTTCTCTCCTTGTATAAAATGGCATTGTAGTCAAGTTATAGGAATGTTGCCGCCTTAATCATTTCATAGATGAAAACAAAATTACAGAAACAAAGAAAAGCAAAAGAGTCCCAATCTGTTCATTTTCTCCTTGAAAATAAGGTTTTGTGTGTGTTTTTTTAAAATATTATATACATGCACTGCTTTCCCTTTTTTTTTTTTTAAGTCTCCCTTCCTCTGAGAAAAACATAAGTGGGACAAAATCTGGCTAGCAGAATGTCCCAGCCATAAATGAGATTAATACTTTCTTTTTGTAAAAAAAAAAAAAAAGGAACTGAAACAACTAAAGCTAAAATTAAGAAAGGTCAGCCTAGGCTAGCCTGATGGAATTTTTGACTTTTAAACAGCCAGTCCTCATGTAGGCCTTACAAGTTAGGGATTTCAGGGAAGGGGAGAGAATAGCAACCTGCTTCAAAGGAAGTTTACCGGATGGATATGTACGTATGTGCGTGTGTAATTATGCAAGGGAAATTATGATTCTCTCTTCACAAATTTGAGTTTCATAGAATTTGTTTCACGATTCTTTGAATAGTTACAGCTTTAATCATCTGTCCTTGTCGCTTCAGTCAAAAACAAATCAGTTATACTAGTAATTCTTACAATATGTCTACATAGTTGACATAATGTCCTGGCTGCAAAATTCTTTACTTCCATTCCTTCAAAAAACCATTTGGGAAAGTGAGGGGGCTTGTTGTGTTTGGATGAGCTACTTTTTATCATCATCATCATCATCATTATTGTTGTTGTTGTTGAAATAATTAGCAAGAAACTCATAGGGCCCCTTTAAAATAATTATAAAACTTGGAAGAGTTAACACTGACAAATTAAAAAGTCTTTCCTTTTCATCTGCCTGGGAGAAAATGAAATGGCTTTTTTAAAAGAAAGTGATTATATTTTACCTTGTCAATTCTCAGCTCACACAGACATATTTAAATTATCTGCTCAGATTAACTTATCTAAACATCTGTCCCCCAAGATACTATGATTAACTTGCTACTTCAAAGCTATAAACTAATGAAACTCAGTTCAGAATCAAAAATGCAGTTTATTATAGTAGAATATTCCTCCTTTTTTTGATATAACCATAGAATTGAAAAATGAAAGGAAAACACATAAGGAACATCACACATGATTAGTTGGTAACTTAAGATATAAAACAATTTTGCACAGCAAAATATGTCAAGGGAAAAAATAACTGACAAGATTTTTTTATATTTATTGTGGTATTTACTTTCCATTTTTTTTTAAAAGACAGGAGTATCAGTCCCTGACAATAAAATTTGCTGATTAATGCCTTTAAAACTTTGTGAATTTGTGAAGTTACAGAAAATCCAGTTCTGCACCACAATACAACTGTAAAAAAATCTGCATTATTTAAAAAACTGAGCAGTAATGCCATCTTTGTAAATGGTATTAGCATCCTAGACAAGTTTGCAATGGTTTATATTTTGCTTCAGGTTATATCTTAGTGCAATTCGGTCCCTAATATTTACCCCCCCCCAAAAAAAACCCCCAATGTTACATTTTGAACACAAAATAACCTTATTAATATAAACAGGGATGCTCCCATTTTAATACTTTGGTTTCCAAATACAGTTGGTGGCATAGCAAGATCTACACATACCCAACTTATAGTTAAGTTGCAATCACATGCTGCATAAGCTATTTTTTTTTTAAAAAAATGTCCCACTTTATATTCTACTCCTTTTAACATCACAACAGTGAACCATTTAGTGCACCATTTAAAAAAAGAGAGACCTACTTCTAAACAGACCTAACTTTTTTCAAATTATCTATAACATTCCTTTATCTGTTGCGTACATTTGAACTGAACTAACAGACAATAAAAGCTTGAATTAAATTATATACCAGGATCCTATAGCATTGCACATTTGACAATGACCAAATGCAAAAAGGAACAAAAAAAAAAAGGGGGGGGGGTAGGAAGAAGGTAGATCATTCCAAAATAAATTTTAGACTGCTTTAAGCAACAATATCATGTAAAATCCAACAAATTGCAGCAAATTTTTTTAGCATAAGTTTTAAAACTTCTTTCCAAAGTTCTTGTTTTCCTGTAATACTGTAATCACAATCCACTCTGCTGTTTTTGTTTTACACATGAGAGCGAGGAGAGATGTTTTTCAATTCATTAAAAAGAAGTCTGAAGTTTGAGAGGGGGGCCACTCAAAGCAGTTTCCAGAACAGATGCAAACTTGAATGGGTAAGGAAGACTCAAAAAGTTGCACTTTTTTGCTTTCAGTTCAAAAAAGTGGTGAAGAAATACAACTTAAAGAATGAATGACATGCCATTATATATATCTCCAAAGTCCATATCCTAGCAAAAGGAAAAAAAAAAAAAATCCGTACATGTCCAGCATGCAGGGCATTTATCAATATGATGTCTTTTTTTTCTCCCCATAGTCTTTTGAAATATTTATACAGTTAATTGATGCAAGACAAACTAGTAAGCGTAATAATGCATGAGATGAGGATGGGTTACTAAAAGCAGACTCAGTTCACTGTTTGGCAGCTTAAGACCAAGGGATCACATCATGAACACGTGAGAAGTTGATCAAGGCTCCATTGGGGCAGGTTGATATTCTCTAGGTTTAGTTCAACAACAGATGAAAATTTCGGCAATCTGAAGTCTAAAACTTTCTTTAAATATTTCAGTCAAATGTCCTCAGCACATGCCTGCATTCATAGGTATATGAACACAGGCATATCAATAGGTATCTATCTACCTCTAAAGTTCATACCCTACAGGAAGAATTCAGGGTGGCAAAATGGTCGTTCTGTATTTTGGATAGAGCAAAATGTAAAGGAAATGAAGTTTGAGCAAACTTCAGACGAGTTGATGGAAGTTGGACTGCAGGCACAACACACACACACACTCTCACACACAAAGCTAACTTGGCTGGAGAGGGAGAGAAAGGTCAGGACCTTGTAAGGTCCAGCTTAAAAAGTACCACCAAAAGTTTCATTAATTCTTTTAAACAGAATACTACGATAATGGTGGCGTGTACATAGCAAGTGTGACTTGGATGGCCCACATTAACAATAATTAACATGGGGACCAACGGGCTGACCTTACCCCCCCCCCCCAATCCTTCAGCCTTAGGAACTTTTGCGCACGTGCTCGCTCGCCCTGTGTGTGTGTGTGTGTGTGTTTGTGTGCGCGCGCGTGCCTGCCGTGTACTCTGAAGAGCGGCCAGGGGCTGTCAGGGCGCAGGGGGTTGGCGGGTCGGGGCCGAATGGCGGGATGGGTAGGTGGGAGAGAAGACCACAACTCACATGAAAAACTCTGGAGAAGAGGGATTGTCGCTGCTGGATCCGTTTTCCCGGAACCCGCTGCTGACCAATTTCTCGTATTTTTCCTTGTAGGCGTCCCTCTCCCGGACCAGCCTGGAGATCTCCTGCTTCAGATGTTCCACTTGTTGGAGCAACTGGTTCTTCTCGGATTCCAAGACGTGCCGCTGCTGGACTCGCTTGAAGCGGCAGGACTGCGCGTAGCCCCGGTTTTTCAGGGTCCGTCGTTTCTGTTTCAGCCGGATCACCTCTTCCTTGCTGACGCCCCGCAGCTGCCGGTTGAGTTCCCGCACCGACATGGTCACCAGCTGCTCGTCCGAGAAGCGGTCGTCGAAGTGCAAGCCGCTGCCGCCGCCGCCCCCGTGGTGGTGCTGCTGGTGGTGGAGACCCCCGCCGCCCAGCCCGCCGCCGCCGCTGCTGCCGCTGCTGGTGCTGCTGGCCGAAGACTGCACGCTGCCCGGAGGCTGCGGCTGCGGATGATGGTGGTGGTGGTGGTGGCCGCCGGCCGGGTGGTGGTGATGGTGGTGGTAGTGGGGCGCGCCGCCGCCGCCTCCGCCGTTCTGTTGCTGCGCCGCCGCGGCCGCGATCACCGCCGACACCACGGCGGCCGCCGAGCCGATCTCCTCCGGGGGCATGGAGCCCCCCGACCCGCCGCCGCCTCCTCCTCCGCCGCCGCCGCCTCCGCCGCCCACGGCCAGCTGCTGCCCTCTAGCATAGCCTTCGAAGCCGGCCGCCGCCGCCGCCGCCGCGCTCTGGAGCTGGTGGTGGCTGTTGTTGATCAGCGCTTCCACGGCGTCTTCCGGGCTGAAGCCCAGGGCCTCCGGGTTGAGCTGCTGCGGGTAGCCGGTCATCCAGTAATAGTCTTCCAAGTGGGTCTTTTGGTCGCTGCCGCCGGAGCCCGGGCTGGGGGCCGAGAAGCTGGGCGAGGGGGGCACGGAGCTGCACGGCGTGCTCATGGGGGTGGAGGAGAGCGAGCCCCCGGCGATCAAGCGGCCGCACTGGCTGATGATGCGGTCCGTCTCCACCGGTTCCTTTTTCACTTCGAACTTCATCAGATCGAAGTCATTAACATATTCCATGGCCAGGGGACTAGTGGGCAGGTCAGCGCTGTGCAGGGCCAGGTCCGAGGCCATCCTTTTGCCGCCGCCGCCGCCGCCCGTCCTCCAGAAAGGGTGCGCTCCCGGAGCCAGGGGGCTGCTCTGACTTGCCAGCGGATGAGCCAGTTTGCTGGTCGCCTCGCGGAAACCGCAGCGGGAAGAAGCTGCCGTCCGGGGCTGCGCGCCGCTCCCTCGCTGCCGCCGCCTCCTCCTCCTCCTCCTCCGCCGCCGCCGCCGCCGCCTCCTCCTCCGCTTGCTCGCTCGCTCTGCCGGCGCCGGGATCAGCCGCCGGCAGCAGCAGCAGCAGCACTAGCAGCAGCAGTAGCAGCGCCTCGCACCCGGGCTCCGAGGCTCCCTTGACAAAGAGCCGCTGGGCTGCAGCCGGCAACCCCGCGAGCAGCCGCGCCTGGCTGCCGCCTCTCGCTCGTGCTATTTGCTCGCCTTTTGCATCCGGCCGCCTCGGTTTCTTTCGTTTTTCTTTCTGTCTTCCCTCCCCTCCTTCCCTCCCCTCCCCTCCTCTCTCTCTCTCTCTCTCTCTCTCTCTCTCTTTTCCCTCCCCTTTTCTCCTGTGCGCGCTCGTGGCTCGCTCTCTTCCCTCTCTCTCTCTTTTCTCTCTGCAGCTTCGCAACTGCAGTTTTATAGGGAAAGGTTACTTAGCAGTTCCTCCTTGATTTGCAAAAGGATTGATTGGCTTTCTTGCTGTCTCTTTCTCTCTCTCTTTTTTTTTTTAACACTTCACGCTGTTTCTTCTCTTTTCTTTCCCTTTTCCGGGGCCGGAGTCCAAACGAAGAGAAAGAGGCAAGAGTGAGTTTCAGCACCAAGGAAAAGAAAAAAAAAAAAAAAAAGAACGCGGCTGACGATTTAAAAAAAAAAAATAAAAAAAAGAAGAGCAGGTAAGTCGCTAGATCGTATTTTTGTTTCAAAGGAGGAGAGGTTTGGAAAGCGAGAGGGTCGGGCGCGGGGACCCTCCTCCCCAAGTTCTGGAAAGGAGAGAAAGAAAGATAAGAGGGGGAAAAAAAATAACCCCTCGGCTCCCGAGCTTCAGCGACAAGATGAAAAAATATTTGAAAGAGATGAACCGGGAGGACAGTTTAAAAGCCTTGCTTTTTTTTTTTATAGCGCGCCTGACGTCACACTCCTATCGGGACCCGACTCCAATCCGCGGCGGCGAATCCGGCTCCTCATTAGCATAATAGTATAGAAACAAGGAAACTTTTCAAAGCTGTCAATCAGGAACCAATCAGCTGACTGTCAGCTGGGACCAAAACTTTTTAACTCTTTCTTAACCGAAAGCGCTGCCTCGGGCTCATTGGGGAGGGGGGGGAAGAGATGGGGGGGGAAAGGGGGAAGAAAAAAGGAGAGAGAGAGAGAGAGAGAGAGAGAGAGAGAGAGAGAGAGACTATCCGAAAGCCATTAAATTGGCAAAATACTCTTTGCTAAGACGCTCAACTCTCCAAAAGAAAATGCGATAAAGAATAGGTAAGGGTGCTCTTACGCACCGTCTCTAGCTTTCCTGCGTGCGTTTCGGGGTTTTGTGGTTTTGGAAGGCTGGCGTGAATTTGTGTACTCTACCACGTTTGCAAATGTGGAGTACATATATTCAGGGGGCGGGGGGGGAGGTTAATTGTTCGTTTGTTTGTTTTTTTTAAAAAAAGCTCTCCGCTGTTCCTTATCCTTTCCTTCTAAGAGTGTGAGTCTGTGTGTGTGTGAGAAAGTCAGGCGGCGTGGACGAGCGAGTGCGCGCAGATCCCCCCAAGACTCGGTTTTAACATGTCCTGGAAACAGATCCCATCTGGAGAGTCTTCTTGCTACGGGGATCCAGAAGCGGGGAGTCCCAACCGGTTCTCTAGATACCCCAAAGATAGATCTGCATATAGTTCAGCTTTCTTTTTCTAGAGGGGCGGGGGCGGGCGAAGGGTGCTTCAAACGCACCTAAGCCTTCTGGGTCTAAAGGGAGTGAATTCGGAGTCTTGTCCCGAGCGCAGCTACCAACCGTTCTTTTTGCACTCTTTGCACGCCTCGGAGGCACCCTCTGGGTTTTCCGAGGCCGGGACGCGGCGCCTCCGGGTCAAAGTTAGGGGTTGGGTTTTTTTTTTTTTTTTTTAGCCCTGATCTCCTCTGCCCTCCTCCAGGATCGATGGCTTCGCCAGAGGTCGGAAAGTTAAGGCAAGTGGCTAATGGCTAGCTCTCCTTCCTAGCGCAATCGTTTTACTTTTTTCCTGTGCTTCTTTTAAAGACGGTTCCTAGATTTTAAACCTAAGTTTGAGGTGGCTTTTTCTTGGGGCGGGGGGGGGGAAGGGAAAAGAATTAAAAACGAAGAGGAAGGAAGCCTTGAAGAACTTTTTGCAAACTTCTGTTTTAATGCCAGCCGTGGTCTTGTTGGCAGAAAGCGGACGGTCGGTTCAATTAATTATTATGGAAAGTGTTGCGCGCGCTCTTTCTCGCTTCTCGGCGGCGAGGGCTGCTTTAAAAAAATAAATAAATAAATTAATAGCGAAAATAAAAGAACCGAGTTAAAACAAAATCCAGTTTGCTCGCGTTCCGTTTAAACCTCGACAGCGCCACCTTTCGCCCCAGATCAGTTTCATACTGAACCGCTTCCAATTTTCGAGACAGGAAAAAAAAAAAAATCCGTACTAGAAACGCGTTTAAGGGAGGAGAAAAAAAAAAAGTCAAGAGCCTTTAGCGTCGGCACGACCGTCTGACATTCACTCTTTCGCGTCGGGGACGTATTTTGGGGTTGGATCTAATAACAGGGTGCGTGTTTTACACCGTTTCCTATCAATATAATTTCTCCACTCTTCGGGCACGGGCCTGCAAGTGTATTTCTGTTCTTGTTAGTCTGGATACGTTGTGAAGTTGTGTGTATGTGTGATTCTCCCTCTCTCTAAGATAGAGGGAAACCTTTTAAAACTTCTAGCCTTGATTTCCAACTGACTCCCAGACCACATCGATAGGAATTAAAGTTACTAGTAATTTGGTGATAAATGATATGTCTTTAGTAGGCAAGATTAAGTGTAGTGCTGTAAAGTTGTTTATCTGAAAAGTAATTCTCAGAAATCTGACTCTTGACACTTAGTCATATATTAAACCAGCCTTCTGAACATTGCACCCCAGAACATTGGCTTCAACGATTCCCCCCCCCCTCCAAATTTCCTACTGAAACAGCCTTTGCCTAATTTTAAGGATCTGCTTGTGAAGACTTTGCTTCTCCTAGGACGAGCTTGCCAATAGTCTCAAAATCTCAAGCTGGGAAAGAAAAAAACCAGGACTTTGTATGCCCTGACGTTGCTCAGCCTTGACAGCAAGAATTCATATGATCAAGCTGTCTTAAGGGGTAACAAAGAACAGTTTGAAAGAGGTAGCTGGGCTGATGGGTACATCACACACTGATTTGGGCAGCATCTACTTACTTGCAGATAACAAGAACACTTCACTGGAAACACCAACAGAAAAAAAAAGGTGGTTTCCAGAGTAAATTCCAAACATGGAATTTATGAAAAGGTGAATATGATGCACTCAGTTTGATTTACAATGATAGGGAGGGTGTCAACAGGAACTGTCAGCCTGAACAGTCACCCCTGCCTGTCTTGTACATCCTCCTTGCACTTCGGAGCCTAGCAGAGTAGAATGGTTTCATTTTCAGATGGTGAGGACAAATTAGAGATGTGCCACTACTTTTAGAAGAGTAGAAGTTGCTTTGGGGGGTGGAGACTGGAAGGGGTCCCTTTGACTTAGATGCTTTCCCATTTAAGTATGCTACATGTACAAAACGAGGACTTTTTTCTCACCCCAGTTAGCTCTGAAGGATAAAACAGGGAATGCAAAGCCACATCTGGCTAGCACAATCTGTGCTGAGATATGGCAGTGCAGCGGAGGGCTATAAACACGACTGAGCTCAAACCTCCAAAGGATTAAGACAAATTACTGGAGGTGCGTATTAGCCTTATTAACCTATTACAGATGAGGGAGCTGTCAAATATTGGCTGTTATGTAGCACAAATGGATAGAGGTTTAAAATCAGAAGTCTCCCCCCACCCCTTACTCTGTTCCTCCTGGCAGGATCCTCCTGTAGTATTTAACTGCTCACAATCTGAGCATCTGAACCATTTCCAGGTAAGGCTGGACTTCTCCTGTAGCAACTGAACCTTTTCATATCCATTAGAAGTGTCCAGACCACCAAAGCACCAACAGCTAAATTCCTTCAGCCTGCTCATCCACCCATTTGGGCTTTTGTTTCCATTTACTTGAGATGTGCTGATTCAATCAACTGCCTTTCATGTGCTCTGTACTTTTCAAGCATTTGGTCTTTGGGAGAACACGGGGCTTTTGAAAGCTTCAGTTCAGAACAGTCTCCAAAATATATGTATGCTCACATGCAGATGCACATAAACCCGTACAATAAGCACGGTCAGTGAATTTTGTACAGAGAAGCACCCTCATCTTACACCACTGTTGGTGAGAAATTAAAAAAAAAAAAGCAGCTCTCAAGTGTGTATTTTCATGACTTGCTTGGCTGAGTAAACAAGCAGAAGGAAGACTTGCAAAAGGGGCTAGTAGAAGTCTCGTGAGTTATATTGACTTTGAGTGTCATTTGCTATGACTTAAACAAACTCATCTATCAAGGCCAACACATTAAGTACAGTAACTGCACCTTTTGTTTATCCAGCGCCTTATTTTATGGTGCAGAACTGAGTGGTGTCCACTGAATTTAAGTATGAAAAGCCACCAAATTGATTTCCCAACGCCGAGTGACAAAAGCGGAAGGCATCAACTGCTCTTAGACTACAAAGCTAGATAAATCCTTTTAACAGTGCTTCAGATCCGCTAACAGGGCCACAAATAACAAATCATTGTTAGCAGATTTATGGGAAAGAAATAATAGAATCAGATGAGATAATCTGATAGGGGTAAAATTGCTGAGGAAATGAGTCCTCCTTCACATCCATGTCTATGAAGCAGCCCAGCGATAACAAGAAGTCATTACAAATAGGTGAATTATGATGAGAATAATCGTCCTTGTAATTCAATATTTATTCATTCTTTTTTCTTTAAATAAGTAGCAGATGACCTCAAACAACCCTTTTTGAAAATGATTATATAACACACACACACACACACACACACACACACGTCTTTTATTGAATGCAATTTACTATTTGTTTTACTTTATAGTTTGGTTAATAACTAAATATTTTGTATTCAGTTTTATGCAATACATTAGGCCTGCAAACATATTCCTGCCTGATTAGCATAAATAGTCACTTCATGAATTACTAACAAAGTTGATCTGAAAAATATTGGCGCATTATTTTATTAAGTGGAGCGCAAACATATGTCCAATAAATTCTAGTTTGCTTCTGGCAGGAAAGGATAGACAGAGATCCAGGCAGTTTTATTTCACTGTGGCTAAGTGAGAAAAAACATAAGATGAATTAATCTATGTTTATGAACTTAATTTGTCTTGTCAACCTTTCTGTTTCTATTTAATAAATAGAAATGTCCAGGTCATTTTCCGAATCAGTACAAGAAGAGATAGCATTTAAATACCTCTAGCAATTTCACCTGCTTAATTTCTTTTAAGGATTGCATCATATGGACATAAAATTTGACTTCTTAATTTTGTGGCTAATTCTGTTTCCTGTTTGGGTAAATTAGCAACTTGGTTTGATTTTAGCAGATTGGGTTCAAACTGAATGGAAATCAAGCTAAATATCTATTATAACTTCTTTCCTGAACCAGGATGCCCTCCATTCGGTATGGTGTCAATTGTGCTTAAGTCCCAGTGGAATTCATAAAAATCAAACATGCCTAATGTTTGTGACTCAAATCTAAGCAGATCTGAAGTGTCTACGACGTGGTCTGGAAGTTCCTTATCTCTGGTTTCTAAAGCTTAGCAAATTAAACTGAAGCAAAAAAATTTAATCTCTGAATATATCTAGAAACAGATCCCAGGAATTTCAGGCATGGCTTACTTTTTGCCAGCTGCTTGAAAACAACTTATGTGTCACTAAGCAAAAGTTTCATAAGGTGGAGAGTAGCGTGGGTGTTGAGGGAAGGAAATTCAAACTGACCAATCCGTGTGTACTCTGATTAGACTTCCTCCAATTATCATATAATGTCTCTTTAACTAAGGTGACCAACTTTTTTACAATGAGAAGGAGGACACAAATAAACTGAAGGAAAAAAAGTGAGTCTAATCCATGCGTGTGTGCCGTGTCGTGTTTCGGCAAGAAGTAAACAAAGCCACTTGCGTGCGGCGCTCTCTTGCGCGCGGTGCACTCTCTTAAAACAATTCTCCTGTGCGGAGCGCATGCGTCTCATAATCGCATCTCGCCGCACTGTACCGAGCCTTGACGAATCGTCATGTCAAATACAAATACGTCACATCACACGCAACGGATCGGATCGGCATCGATCGAATACGGAGATTTACAGATTAGTCTTCAAATGTCGAAAAGGAGGACATGTAGGAGGCACTTTTCGAGAGAGGACAGAACTTACAAAAGAAGGACTGTCCTCCCTAAAGGAGGACGGTTGGTCACCTTACTTTAACATAGAACTAAATCCTAAATGAAGTCAGTTTCAGATCAGTAAATTCTTTAATTAGGGAATAGGGAAGGAATGAAGGAAGGAAAGGAGGATTTGATGAAGGTTCCAGTCTAATAGAGTATTTTTCATGATGGGAAAGGGACAGGACCATCGTTAATTTTTCCTTTGCTTTTGCAGTTTGCTGTCATCCCCACCAAAGGCCTCTCTCTATTGGAAGATTAGGAAAGCAGGGCTAAAGAGTGCAGAGAAGAGCAATTGAGACAGATCAACCCCTTTCTTTCAGTGGAAATATTCTGAGCAGTGCTGGGAAATGTTCTTGTTAGTGGAATTCAATCCATTGTCTTTCAAGTCAACAGCAGAGATAAATGTAAGGCAGAGTAGAGTGTGAATATCAAAAAGGATCAGTACTGAATCATAATCAGAAAAATATCCTGTATTTTTTTTCCATTTCTTGCATTTACTGAGTCTGAATCATTTTTATACCTATAAATCTCCAGCTGTTAGAAAACTATGTGTTTTATAATTTCCTTTACAGGCACAGAAACGTCTACCTAAAACAAAAAAACAAATTGTAAACATCATTTCCTTTCTCTTTCTCTCCCTCTCTCTGTCCATTACATCATTTCCAATTTTGTAAATAAAATTTCCCTTAACTTCTTTTGTAGGGGTTTCCACACCTGGGTTATAAAACTTGGGATGATCACTAAATTTTTGAAAAAAAAAAAAAATCTTAACTTTTTGCTTCTATGTAATACTCATTTGGGGGTTTGATGCCTCATCTAATCTTAACTAAATCTTTTGTTAGTGAAGAAAAGTTATATTGTTTTAGTTTTGGGATACATTTTGTTTTAAAATAGGTTTGTTTTCATTCTGAAGTTTTGCTTATGTATTCTATGGAATATGTATTTGTTGCTCACCAAATTCCATTTCAGTTGTTGAATAATTTGTGTTATTTTTATGGAATTTCTGCTTTCTATTTAAAATTAGAAAATGAATGTTCTTGGATGTATTTTTCTTCTAAATAAAACATAAAGGATCATTAATAAAAAGATATCACTAGAACACAATGTAATCAGTCATGCTTGGATTCCTAAATGCCTGCATGTATGTCTGAACTCTGAAAGAAAATGAGGGAGATCAATAAGAAGGCTATTTTGTCTTTTGAACATGGTTAAAAATTATGATTCTAAACATATTCTTGCTAATATGTTATATTCCTGAATTATTGTTTGAGGAAAAATTCAGTAATTGGCAACATTTCTTTATTCTGTGCAAGGAAAACAGCAAATCTGCAAATCAGAATGAAATGGGTAATAGTCTCTGATTGCCAATTCTTATATAACATTTTCTATGTATGAATTTTTAAGACACAGTTTTTATTCTGTGGAATGCCCAGAAGTATGATGGAGTGTGTGTCTTATCAATAAAATAAAATAATATAATATAAAATAAAATAAAATAAAATCACTTCCTTTTTGTAGTCATGCCTGGATGTCTGAATGACTCCTTTGTGCAAATGCTACATTAAAATACAAGTGTTCATTCTACAGAACATCTATAACAAATCTAGCGCTAATTTCAGATCAAAGCTAAGTTTGGGAACAAATGTCAAATTGTAGAATCCACGTAATATATAAATTCACAATATGTAAACTGTAGATTACAGAAGAGCTTATCTTAGATATCACAGGTAAACATCAGGAATAAATATGCTATGAACAATTAGAATTAGAACACTTCTCCTTGTATGAATGTAAGAATGGAAAATGGGAATCTGCAGGTAAGTGAAATGAAAAATGCCTTTAATCCTGTCCTGTTTAACACAATTTTATCACACTCTAGACAATGCTGTTCACTTTGGATATATCTATATTGACCAAATTTCATAATCTGCTTCCATATGCTAGAGCCTTGAAATTTCAGCAGGCAACTGAATGCATATAAACTCAAGGATTTATCAGCCAAAGATGCAGTTTCAGCACCCTGTTTTACTTCCTGTTAGGACTAAATATAAGGAGCATAACATGAACAGGTAAGATTTTTATTTAAATAAAAAAGAAAAGAAATATCAGCACTGTATTGAAATTTGTTTTCCAACTTCCCCCAATTTTTCTTCTCTTTAGAAATAGTTTTTGTTTCTATCCCTAATTTCCATAGCGCTTTACAACATAACCAGCCTGCAGGGGTTGCCAAACTACAACTCCTAGAACCACAAATGTCTGGTAGAAGCCATGATGACATCATGCGCATCATGATGTCATTGTACAAATGACATGACAAAAGGTTGCAAATGATGTTCAGAACATAATTTGTATTAGCCATGCTGGCTTGGTTTGTGGGCCAAGAAACACATATGAAATTACTTCTAAACAATTTCTTTCACATTGACCACCCATCTTATCACAAGATAACTCTGGGCTGTTTACAATATTAAAAAGGTAAAATTTTACAAAACCTTTACCTATTTAGAACTTGCTCCTTGCCTATAGACAAAATTTTTACCAAACTAAAGAGCCTACTTGCATCATTCAAGAAAATTTCTAGGGTGGAACTGTCTTAATTCTCTGTCTCCCAACCAACTGCTGTATCTAAGCTTCGTCTCTTTATATTCTGGAATGCAAACCTTCTGGGGAATCCAGACTACAATCCACTACAGTGATATTTGAATAACCGTAGTTTTCGATATTTGGACCACCAGAGTTTTCAGTCAGTCAAGTCTATCTTCCTACTTACCGACCTACCTACCTGGACCACCAGAGTTTTCTGTATGTAAGTCAGTCTGTCTGTCTGTAAGACTGTCTGTCTGTCTATCTATCATCTGTCTATCTTTATTTGGTGTGTGTCTTTTAATACCATGTTCTATTATGGCAAGTTGGTGAAATTTTTAGTTTTCTGTTACAGACTGCTCCATCACTGCAGTTTCTGAGATTCCCTGCATTTCCTGATGTGAAAAAGTTCCCTAGGAAGTGGACAAGCGGGAGGAGGATTTAAAAAAGGCAAGATGAGATTTGTGGCATCTAGTGAAATTGCTCTTTTTTGACTTGTGTCCATAGTGCAGGGTCAGGATTGACTTCTCAAAGCCATATCTGCCATTTCAATAGTTTTTATCACCTCTTGGTCTTTGCTGCTGCTAGAAGGAATTTTCCCCCTGGGAATTTCCCTTGCCATTGATTGGAAGTATAGGAAGCCAGGAGGCCAATGACCACAGATAGAAGGTTATGCATTGCAAGTGAGAACACTGTACCACACTTCCTGAACATCAAGTCTCTATGGTAGAAGGCAGAACATTGAGTCCCACCCTTGAGAATGAAACCCCCCCCCCAAAAGAGCTCCCCATTTTCAGGGCAGGAGGGGAAGGGAAGTTCAATAGCAATTTTATTTTCCATGAAATGGAATGAAAATGAGGAAAAAGGGCAGAAAGAATGGATGGCGTAGTGGTGAGCTTTGCTTTATGGTAAAGGGGGATATTTCTTTCACTGCATGGAGAGTCATTTGAATCAACACCCAGTTCCTGCAAAGCCATATTCTTGGTATTGGCAGGACACTCCAAACGGCTGTCCCTTCCTTAATAAGGGAAATAAACAGCCTTGTGTATTTTCCTTCTGTCGCTTTGACAAAGTGAACTCCACATCCAGCAGTTGTCCTGAGTCTGATCTTTGGGTCAGAAGGACACGAGTTTTAATGGCCCTGGTGTTCCTTTTTTTTTCTTCTTCCCCAGATCCAACTGGGATGATTCACAGGCTTTTATCTTCCCGGTCACCTGTTTGGGGAACAATGGAACGATCAGGAGATCATCGTCTTCATGAGCTTCGGATGGGAAGCGGCAGCTTGACAGGCAATAGCACTTCCTCCCAGGTGGAAGAGTTCTGGAATTGTTTTCATGACTGCATCCAGGAGGTTGGCTGGTTCCCTGCGGAAATGTACGTGAGTAACATATAAAGGTGGGCCAGCAGAGGACTACTGAGAACTTGACCCAAGTTGAGGCATGAAAGGAGGCTCTGCTGTGCGGGCCAGAGATTATGTTATGTGCTTTATCATGGCATCACTTTTGGATGGGGGATGGGTCTGCAGAACATTTTTGCTTTAATTGGGTGACTTAATTGGAAGCCTAAAGCGATTGGTGTCCTTTGTCTCTCATAGGAAATTGCGCTTCTGATACCTGGCCAGTTGCTACTGAATTCTGATGGTACAATTGTAGGGATCGACGGTGAGCCTCTCAAAGCAGCTATGCCATCCTAGAAGGCCCAATATGATTTAGAAGACAGCTAGAAATCTCTCTGCATATTTTTAAATTCAAGTGATGGTAACACCTACACATCAGGAAGAAATGGAGGCAGAAAGAGAAGCAAACCTTGCTGAAATCTTCTTGAAGTAAAGGAATCTCTTAGGGAGTACGAGTGGAGAGTAATGCAGGGGTGTAGAAATGCATTTTGGGTTTGTCATTTGACTATCTCTTTTGGGCATAGAGCTAAATGGGTTTAAGAACAAATCTTGCTGTTTCTGAGGCACCCATTTTATCCCTTAAAACAGAACTCTTCAAACTTGGCCCTTTTATGACTTGTGGACTTCAACTCCCAGAATTCCTCAACCAGTGTTAAGTGAGTTTTCCTCCATTTTACAACCCGTCTTGCCATAGATGTTAAGTGAATCTGGCTTCCCCATTGACCAAAGGACTTCAAACATTATGATGTGTAGAGGTTGCGTCTTTAAAAATAAGTTCATTGTAAACTTTCCTATTTCCTTAATGAAGGATTGGCTGCTGAGTACAATTCAAATCCCTGTTTATTACCTATATATCCCTTCTTGGCTTAAAGCCTGGTTATTTAAGGGATTGCCCATGTTTTATGGTGTCTCCTCATCCAATATCATCCAATCTAGTGGATGTGCTGTGTGTGTGTGTGTGTCATTGTTGACTCTTGACAACAATGGATAAGTCCCTGCAGTTTTTAGATGTGGTTTGCCATTGCCTCCTTCCTAGGACTGAGACAGAGTGACTGGCCCAGCTGGCTCTGTGCCTAAGGTGCAATTAGAACTCACAATCTAGTCTGATACCCTGAAACACTACATGAAACTAGCTCTCACAGATAGTAACAGGAAGATTTTAAAGAAACTAAATAGAATTACAGTGTTTTGGAATAGTGACGAGAGAGAGAGGTTTCAGAATGAAAAATGGAACCCTTGAACGTATTTTCTTATATACCATAAGTGGAAAAAGAGATTGGCTCATAAATTATTCTTCACCTAGAAAGCATCACATTTACAAGTTCTAATTTGATTCCACGTGTTTGGAGGAAAAAGGGCAAAATACTGTATGCATCAAAATGTGATATATGAATCTCTATTAAAATGATGTTAAATTATATTATGTGTCATTTTCAATACGTAATAATTAAAAATGTACTCAGGAAAAAAAAGAGAGGAGAAAGACAAGTTGGGAAACACCCATGCAATATTTCTTAACCTCCCTCCTTCCAGCCTAACGTAGCACAGCAAATTCTCTCATTAAATACTTGATGAAGAAAGGAAGTAATTAAAGACAAAAGTGGAAGGCCTGGGGGTCCGCTTCATTTTTGCTTCAGAACAGAAGTCTCTTTCAGAAAAGATAAATCTGAGTTTCAGCAATAATATCCTTCATTTTAGAAAATATTTTTAAAGCAAAGCCAAAGCCATAGGAAATTATAATTTGCACAGCGTCTTGGATCTGGTTACCGTACAAATGTGTATTAAGACATGAATCTAGCTCTTGTCTATAACTCTTTAAAGCAGCTGTATCTTCTCTCAAGATTGCATGGCTGCATTCACAGCCCTGAGCTACTCTGAAGCACCTTTCTGAAACCGAATCTTGAAATGGTGCAGCCATATCCATGGACTGCCTGAAGGATATCAAAGGGCCTTTTATGAAGCAATCAAGTGTATACAGGTAATTTTCGACTTAATGACCACAATTGGAAGCAGAAGTTTAGGGTTATTACATGAGTTATGCTGGAAGTTTTGTACTTTGAGTTGTACTTAAAAGTTTTGCACTTTTGTACTTTCAGACTTGCAAGATTGATGTCAGCCCTCCCAGGTTAAGCAGACAGGAATCACGATGAGACAAAATAATTCTACTGTATTGTAAAACTACATTAACAGAATCTTGCGAATCTGAAAGTACAAACTTACTGCTTACAGTTTGATAATTGTGGCACGGGAGGGGGGGGGAATCCTTCCTAAGTTTTTTTCCTTTGACATTAAGCCACTGGGGGCTCCTGCCTCTGTTTTCTGATTGTTTAGGCAGACTCTCTTCTCTTCTTTCTCCAAAGTCATCTACACATTCCATTACAGGTGAGAATTCAACCATGTGACCATAGTGATTTTTTTTTTTTTACTCCCCCTCGCCTTTCCCTGTGTAGACGTTGCTTCTCCTCCTTTTAGAAGTTTGTTGACTTGTTGAATAGATGTTAGGATTCTAAAGGAAATACATCACTGATTTCAAGGGCTATTTTCTAAGCCCTACCAAAACAGACTTTGCCCCAGTCTAGTTAGCAGCTCTTTTCTCTTAACTATGCACAGAGAAAAAAATCTACCTATGAAAGATACATTCTACAAACAGAGAAGATTTCTTAGGATCTGCCTTTCTGACTTCAACTAGCAAATCAGTTTAGACAGATTGGGCAACTGCTGCACATGCACGGAATTGTTTTCTTTTTATACTTTCCAACTGAACAGAATGTCGGAAATAAATTATGCAAAGATTCTTATTATGTAATTTTTTTTTTGCTTTACACCTTTTCTTTATTTTTCTGTTTTTTTAAAAAAAGTCTGTTCTATTTAATTAAATGAAGAGAAAAAAAAGGGTGTTTAAGAACTTTGTCCATCTGTTTGACTTTCAGAGGATAGCTGTCCAAAAATGAAACCAAATTAGATCAAACTTTACAAATATGTTAGATCAGGTTCAAGGTTGTAAGCAAAAAATAATAAAATAAAATAAAAATCCCCAGAGTATTTCTTCATTCTAAATCTGTCCCCTTTTCTCCCTGATCATGTGATCAACAGAGGAACCAATTTTAAGAAGTAAGAACAAATTCTGGAATACATTCTTTTCTTGTTTGTTTAAATCACCTAATTGATTTAACCTGACCATCCAAATCAGATTGGATAATTTTTCCAAAGTGAATCAAAACTCCAAATTTTGCTCGACTCCTACTCTCTTAATATTTATAGATTATAAAGATTTCATGTCAGAGATATTTACATTTAAAAAAAACATCTCTGAGAGAAATTTATTGCAGATGGAATAATGGGAATAATTTCGTTAAAACAATTTTTCAGGGAATGCAAGTTAAAAAAAAATGATGCTCATTATAGCGAAGCGTGTACAAAAGCTTCTTACATTAGGGAAAGCTGTGAGAGAAAACAGATGGAGATATTTTAAATGAATTTTTAACAACCTGTTTCAGAAAAGACAGCCGAAATAGTGCCTTAATAAGGTAGAGAGCACAATTATTTGGCTTTACCTTGATTCACACATTTTTACTGAATATGACACAGGGTGACAGAAAGGTTTCCAATAGGCCATTCTTCCATGTGAACAGGGGATAAAATTATTAAAAAGACCTGCCAACAAGGAAGAAGGGGGGATTACTCAGGCCCCACCCATAGAATATATCAGAAGTCTAGCTTAGCACTGAAGTGGGTCAGATAAATAGTTGGAAAAAAATCTATTATTTCATTCAAGGCAGTCAAACTAATAAGCTAAAATATAAATAAAACAAAATCAAAATTCTTGCATCCTCCCCACACTTCCCTTTTCCTGGGCTATTGATTTTAGTGGACAAAATGCAATAAAAGGAAACATACAGATATATATATTTTAGACCCTTTTCTCCTTTGTTCATTTCCTAGGGAGCTTTTTCACATCTGGAAATGTAGGCAATTTGAGAAACTATGATGATGGAAGAGTCTGTGACAGTAAAATAAAAACTGCCAGCATATTTCATCAATTTGCCATCACTGAACATGCTTTGAAGACTTACATATTGGCACACACCAAATCAAGATAGATAGATAGATAGATAGATAGATAGATAGATAGATAGATAGATAGATAGATAGATAGATAGATAGACAGACAGATACTCTAGATGATGGATAGATAGACAGATGGATGGATAGATAGATAGATAGATAGATAGATAGATAGATAGATAGATAGATAGATAGATGATAGATGATAGATAGATAGATACGATAGATACGATAGACAGGAAGATTAGATAGACAGACAGATAGATACTCTAGATGATAGATAGATAGATAGATAGATAGATGGATGGATGGATGGATAGATAGATAGATAGATAGATGATAGATGATAGATAGATGATAGATAGATACGATAGATATGATAGACAGGCAGATTAGATAGACAGACAGATAGATACTCTAGATAGATAGATAGATAGATAGATAGATAGATAGATAGATAGATAGATAGATAGATAGATAGATACGATGGACAGACAGATTAGATAGATAGACAGACAGCTATGGGATGATGTGAGTAGTAGTGTGCAACACTCCTGAATTCTTAAAAAGACTCTCTTAGAGAAATAGTGACATAACTCTTAGTAAGAACAAGGGTAAGATTAACACAATTATGGAGTGTTGTCATAATCTTTGTGTTCAGTGTCTGCTTAAATAGCAAGATGAGGACAACCAGAAGGAATAATTGTTGGGTTGATGTTCTTTCAAATGTCTCAACTGAGCCACAGCAATGAAAGCTTCAGAAGAAATGATTATATTTCCATCCTCTCAGAAATCTTCGTATCGTTTTAACACCACAGATAAATATCACAATTTAGATTTAGAAGAGAGGTGAAAAAACAAAGATTCCATTTTCCATTGCCACCCAGAAAATAGAAAAATGTGAGTTGGCATTTTTTTTTTTTTTTTTTGGCTAGAAAGTTTCTTCCTCCTGTGACAGAGTCAAGGGCCAGAAAGTCAATGATTTCCCAGAATTACATGGATAACGTATAATAAGAAAGGTAAAGGTTGACCCATTGAGATGTTCAGATAACCTATTCTGGTCATTTTCAATAATATGTAACATGCAATTCTTAGGCTAGGAAAAGCTAACTAAATATTACATTCCCTAATTGCAATAATTAATGGGTGGAAAGGTTTTTCTAGGATACATTGGTAATCTGTTCCAGGGAAGGGTTTGCCACGAAAATAAAGATAAAAAGACTAAAATACGGTTTGAGATGGGAGAGGAAAATCTTTAAACCGAACCACCAGATTCGTTCCGTGCATTGAATCCAGTGCCTTGAAACTGGCGGATGCAGATACTTGCATCAAATCAGTCTGAATTTTCTACTCACATTGAATTATTGAAATGACGATTCAAGTCAAATCTTTGATTGTTTTTTATTTGCTTCTTTAATTGGCCACTAATATTTCATAGTGTAATCATGGGTACTCTGAGAAGAGTGCAAGAATAAAAAAAGCACGGAAGGCAGGATAAGAAGTAATGGATGGAAGCTTATCAAAGAGAGATCCAACCTAGAATTAAAGGAGAAATTTTCTGACACTGAAAACAAATCATCAGTGGAACAGCTTGCCTCTAGAAGTTGTGGGTGCTGGACATTATGAAGAAAAGATTGGAGAGCCATTTGTCCAGAGTGGTGTAGCACTCCAGTGCTTGAGCAGGAAAATTGGACTGGAAAACATGCAAGATCCCTCCCAACTCTGTTATTCTGTCATCTGATGGCCACAGATTGCCCAAATTGGTCTAGGAGTCAACTAGAAAGCTGTGTGTTGAAAATTAGAAAAGGAACCATTCTAAGCATAAAATACCCTGGTGTTGCTTTGGTGCTGGATTCTACTGTATCTGACTGTGGGATGCCGCAATCAGTTGTAAATGTGAACTAGTTGCCAAATGCCTGAAATGCAGTCATGTGACTGCAGGGGGAGAAGCATGACATTTTACAACTACCAGAAGTTCATTGTAACTCTGAACTACCAGTTGTAAATTAAGGGCTATCTGTACTTGTCAGGGACTCCTCAAAGCAGCCTTGTCTTTGCTGGGAATCAAATGACTGCCTCACCACTGCTGTGAAATCCTGGGAAAATATATGTTAGGATTAAGGTGCTCCAGACAGATGCTATGCCCAAAATCCAGTTTAGCCCTTTGAATTCAGATCTCTGCAAAACCCTAGTAATCAAGAGTTTAAAAGAAAGTCAAAAGCAAAGGCCATCCTATTGGGAATAATAGGAAGTAAAAGCCAACACATCTGGAGTATCAGAATGATGGCAAATTCAGATGAAATACGAGCATGTGCCATCCTTCTCAGAAATAGATAGTACTCCAGCAAATCAAATAAAAACAAAATTATGCCAGAAATATCTGGGGGACAATGTTAAGCAAATAGCATATCACCACTGTTTTAACAATCTCCAGACTTAATCAGCTCTATCTGTACCACTCTAAGTGCAGCAAGTGCCAATTCTTGCAAAGGCCAATTACACCATGGAGGTAATTGGCTGGGCATGTTTTGAGTAAATAGTTAACTCCGCTCACTTGGAAGAAACGTTTATTGAAAAGTTTGCCTGCACATACAAATGCAAATGATATGTGAATGCCTGCCTTTCAAACAGGAGGGTAGACAAATGCTTGTCATTAGAAACATTTCCGTGCATTTATATTAGGCTGTCCTCTAAAAGACTTTTCAGACAAATATGTCATCAAGATATTCAAAACCATGTAATCTTATCCCAAGTTTCATCTATCAGCGGCACAGATTCAATCTCTCACAGCTGTGTGTGTCAGAATACGCAGGCAGATTAGCCAGCTGATAGCGCAACAAGGAGGGAGGAGTGGGTGACAGGGAAGAAGCTCGTCTTTAACCCAATGAGAAATGCAATAGGAAGGAAGGAAGGAAGGAAGGAAGGAAGGAAGGAAGGAAGGAAGGAAGGAAGGAAGGAAGGATTCTAAATAGGACAGATGCAGTCACACAACTCATGTCACTTCTTGGTTATTTCATTGTGCAGAATTTTAAAAAAAGGAAACAAAGGAAGCCTCTGACTGGCTATCCCTGAGCTAGAAGCTTTTATAGAAGTCAACGAGGAACTTCTGACTTTCTCTGCATTTACTACTGTGGAAAGGTTTTGCCATTCAACTCTGGGATGGCAGGGCAATAGTTCTGTTGTTTGCTTGGCGAACCAGGCAGTAATTGTTCTCTGCAAAGATTACAGCTGGTTCAGGAAATATTGGCAGGATTGTTTACAAGCCACGATTTACAACATGAGCTACCAGGTCACTCTGTCTGGATCAATGACTATTCAAGAAAAGCATGGCTTAGTACAGTGATGGCGAACCTTTTAGAGACCGAGTGCCCAAACTGCAACCCAAAACCCACTTATGCATTGTCGGGTGCCGGGTGGGTGTGGCCCATTGGGTGGGCGTGGCTGCGGTGGTAATGGTAGACTGGGTGGGACTAAAAAGTTCAATCCATCAATTCCAACTTTGTGAGATCTTTTTTTTTTTCCCACAAGAAGTTGAAATTGGCTCATTGATTGAACCTTTTTTAGTTTTTTGCACATGGTGGCAGAGGCCTAAAGCGAAAAGGTTTTATAAAACCCAGGTGAAGGCCTAGGACTGGGGCGACGGCGCGCGTGCCCATAGAGAGGGCTCTGAGTGCCGCCTCTGGCACCCGTGCCATAGATTCGCCACCACTAGCTTAGTATATTGTGGGAATTCTTCCCCTATCACTTGTAAAATAGAGTTTGTCTATGGATTCATATGATGGGTGAATCCAGTCGTTGTGGCTTGTTCAATGAGTCACAGTTGGAAGTTATTATGGCTTAATGCAAGAGAGAATCCATCCAACTGTGATCTCCTTGTAGAGTTATTCAACGAGTCTTTGCAGAATTTGTAGCTCTTCCCATTTTTGTTGTGTGCTGGAAAAAAAATCACTTCTAAAAACATTCCTTACTCCTTCTGGTGTGAAAGTAGCTTAATGAAGTTCTAATCTTTACATGCATAACTTTTTATATAATTGCCAAAGAAAGCATCCTGCTTATAAGTACAGGAGATGAGATTTTAATCCACAGAAAATTGTTGTGAAATGTTTCAGCCATTTAAGGGTTCAACAGGCACTGATATTTAGATAAGTCAATGTCCACCAATTCATAAATCCCTTATTTCATTTTGAATACACGCTTTTCTCAAGAAGATTTTTCCAATGGAATTAGGGAACTGAGGAGGTCTCATTCCTTATGCTATCTCATAGGGAGGTGTCATATCAAGTTGAACACAATCAGTGGAAAGCTAAAGAGAATTGACAAACCCCCATCAGTCAATTACAAAAGGCAGCTTTAATTGGAACATCTTAAATCCTGTGATGATATGATGATACCTTTAATACCACGAAAGAACCAAATATATATCATCTCCTTCCGTAAATGAAGAAGTTGGGATGCCCGAATCCCCAGAGCCTCATGGATAATCTGAGTTTGGAAACTCTTTTTCAACTCAATTTTCCTTGTGGGGTTATCAAGAGAATGAAATGAGGTGGTGGTGAAAAAAAAGAGTCTTGTGGTCACATGTGAAAAAAAAAAATCCCAACAAGTCTACCCTGAATTTCTATATGTGATTAGATTGCAACCTAAGCAAACTAAACATGCTTAGAAGTGTGTTATAAACGTAGTAAATGAGTGTGTGAGAGAGAATCATCACACACCACACACAAACAAACATAGTATATAAAACAAACTGTAATTCTGGTGGATCTCCCTCTCCCCTCTGCAAAACACAACAGATTTTGGAAAGAATTACATCCAGAGACTGTGTGCATGCTTCTTTCTTTCTTTCTTTCTTTCTTTCTTTCTTTCTTTCTTTCTTTCTTTCTTTCTTTCTTTCTTTCTTTCTTTCTTTTATTTTTTATTTTTTTAAAAAAACTCTTTAAAAGTATTTCATTCAAATGCTTTGTGTGTAACCTGGTTTAGAAGAGGTTTTCTATCATGCTGAAAAGAGAGAAGAGGG